TCGTATTCATAGATTAATTATGGATATTTTTTGTTACAGAAACAAAGCATGATGGTCCGTCAACTGGAAGAGGAGCTCAGAATGAGAATGCGCGGGCCAAATGTTGAGATACAGCAGCAAATGGAAGTTTTGTACAATGAGAACGAGCATCTGACTCGCGAAATCGCCATACTTCGTGATACAATAAAGGTAAGTCATGAACATTAACGTCTAGATTATTACGAGATTACTTTTTCTCTGAGCTATAAAATGGATTTAAACTGATCTCTTTTTATTGCGATGTAAAATTATCTCTGTAAAATGGCGTTATAATCCTATATTTTCTGCTTCTGGTCGAATTTTTCCGAAGGAAAATTAATTTCCGGCCGTGCGTTTGCGAGATTAATTTTAGCCGGCGTGACTGTAGGTCGGTTTTCCGCGTCTTATGTCAAAAATAATGCAGTCATGGGCTCGAAATAGAATGGCGCACGCCATCGCGAATGTTTTCCGCATTTTCGAGAAGAGGGATCCCATTATAATTCGGAAATAAAAGGGATATAAGTGCAGTAAATGGGAGCAATAAAAGAAGCGGAGACACCCAAGTCGGTGCGCAAATTTGAGAACGTCGCGGATTGTCTCCCGGTTTGTCTCCTTTTTCTTATTCTTGTTTTTCCTCTCTCGTCGACTCTGAAAATATTCCCGATCTTTGTGAACATTTTCGCGCTTGGATGCCAGATATATTATATGTACATTTTCGCATTATCTTTCGATCTTTCGATATCGCTGCAGACATCTGTCATATGTCCCAGCTTCTACATTTAGAAGAAATACTTATACTCGTTCGATATCTTTCTCACGAATATTTTTAAAACTTTAATTATACACATTTTGTTTTATCTATTTTATGAATTTTTTTAATGTGTTTTTTATATAATAGATATCTCTTTTTTATTTTGAATAAAAGTATGCGGGAGGATTAGTTATTTTTCAAAACAATAGTTGAGGCAATGCAATCTTGATTTTTGTAGTTTTAATAAATTTTTTTTCTCGGTACGATTTTTTTTATTAATAATACACCATTAAAATTTTACCGAAATTATTGGATACAATATTAAACTAAATTAGTGAAAATGTCACTGATTAAAGCAGTGATAAGATTTCACCAAAAATTAGTGAGTATTTCACTGACCTTTAGTGAAAACATTTACATTTTTCTCTTCTGTTTTATGTTTTACTAATTATGGCAATAAAATTTTTAATGGGAGTAAAATGTCATTAAAAAATTAACCATTATCACTAACTGATTTTTTTCAGTAAGAGTCTTTCACTGTTTGCAGTGTTATACTTATAACTGAAGCCATTGTTTATAAGTGATAATACACTGATTCTATTTAAGAGAGTCTATCGTCGATTTATTTAAAGCCCATTCACGGTATCATTGGTGAACGCGTGTGATGCGCGCAATAAAATCCTTCGCGAAATAATTCGTCTGGCGATATGGCTCGTGGTTTATTGACACTTCTCGTACACCATGCGGGTTTGCTTAAACCGAAATAGACGAAGGATTTAGATCGTGTGCGAGGTAAACGACCGATTGTCTGAACGAACAGAATTATCTGACCACGGTCAGAATGCTTCTGGAAACCTTGGCAACGCGAATATCAGTCTCCCCGTGATAAATTCATTAAGTCCATCACCTATGCAAGGAACAGCGTCGTTGATACACTTAACGTTAAATTGCAGCATATGGGCATCTAATCGGAGCGCCACATTCCATACTTATTAAAGAGTGTGAATATTTTAAATATTTTTAAAAAAGATATAAATATTAATTTTCTTTTTTTTTTAATCTAACTATAAAATAATTTTTAAGAAAATTATTTATATGTATCCAACAGTAATATATATAAATTAATCAATATTAATATTTTTATAAATTTATTTAAAGACACTAAAAGAAAATAAAAATTATATTAGCCACACGATGCACTCAACACGATACACTCTTTTAGAAACTTTTTAAAAATTTTTCTTAACATTTAATAATATTTTACAGATTAAGAAATTGTTGTTAAATTAGTTTTATTAATTAAAATTAATTATTATTATTAATTGCATAAAAATAAAATCATGTATTATATATATAAAAAAGGATTGCTATAATTTTCCTTTTTAGTTAAATATATACACACGCGCAACGAAAATTCTAATGTCATCATGAGACGTTATCGTTTCTCTCAATAAATATTTGCGAGTTTTTTTATTGATATTGCAATTGTAATTGGGTTGTAGTGGTTATCAGTATCTATCAGATGTAAGATAGACCAGCGATTTTTATGTCGGAAATGCGTGTTGCAAGGGACAGAGTTGACTAGAACGTTAATAGGATCTCGTCTTAAGAGGGGCTTCGGTTAAACTTCAAACTTATATCTTTCTTTTTCCTTCTTGAATTTTCAATCTTTCGCTTGCGTCATGTCTTGATACAATATTTACATAATATTTATAGCAACTCCGATTGCACAGTTATTGTCGCGTCGTCGTAATCGTAAAGTAATATTTAATGCGGCACATTTCTTGAATATCTCGATATTGAACATCTTCGAATATATTGTAATCTTTTCTTATTCTGCTTTTCTTAGTCTGCTAATAAAATTGATAGAAAAATTCTTAAGCACTTGTTGTAAATTTTATTTGTATTTTCACTAAACGACGTGCTAGATGTTAAACGTTGTTCTTGACGAAGTTACGAGCATTTAACTCCTTTTGTTCGATTTTTATGTTCCGTGAATATATATCAAACGTATACACGCACTCAACAATATTGCAAATTCTTTCATCATGTTTTATTTGTGATATTTCATGTCACATAAATGTCCTATAAATTCTACTAAAAAATGGATGTAATACTTCCAAAACATTTATAAAAAATATGTAGCATTTCATCTCTCTTTGATAAGAATTTAATTGAAGTTGTAATCGCGCATCAATTTTTTTATGTAACAAAAATTTAAGAATTTTGACGAATAAAACATGTAAATAGACAAGTAACCTTAATATACCAAAAAAAATTTTATTCTAAATAAAATTTAATGTTTGAAATATAGTTATCAACTTAACGTTAAAAAGTAAATAAATACGATAAATAAATAATATACAATTTCTACTAACAAAATAAAATCCGCATTAATAAATCACAATATAAAATAATAAATATTAAGATAATAATAAGATGTAATGGACTTTTGCATATACTATTCGCGGAGATTTATAAGCAAGAATTCGAACATAGGACGAGCGGACCAGGCAGAGACCATGGATGATTAAGGGGAAAATGACGTTGCGCATGCTAGAATGCAATTCCCTGCCTTCGCATCTCATCCTGCATAACATCGCATAGCACTGATGCCACGCACGTCAAATCAGGTCAATCGGTAATATTGAACGTATTGGCTTCCGTAGGAATATTCATTCGTAGATGTTCGTTGTAGCGCGCGATCCTCCAGTGCAATCGAAAACATTCGACAAATGAAACACATACAGACATTTTCTGCAACAAAGTGATTGTCTTTCTTTATACAAAATGTTTTATTGTGTTTTTTTAAATCTCGTTATTATATACTGTATATTGCGATAAATGTAACGTTTGATATAGCGATCTCTTTATTCAGGATTAAATTCATTGTCGCTTATTCATATCATTCGTAGTATATTCGGCCAACATATATATTACAGTTACAAAACGAAAGGCATGATTAAAAATCTTTATAAAATCTGGAACTAAAAATTAATTAATTTTTTCCCAGATTTAAACATATTGTCACATAACGAAAAAGACACGATTGAAAATCTTTATAAATTCTGAAACTGAAAATTAATTAATTTTTTTCCCGATTTAAACATATTGTCACGTAACGAAAAAGACACAATTGAAGATCTTTATAAATTCTAAAATTGAAAATTATAACTAATTTTTTTCTGGTTTAAAGATATTGTCTCGAATCAACTAAACTTTTTCTACATTTCTTATTGTTTTAAAAATAATCCTCGTGTTAAGACTAAAGGAAATTTTATTTTACAATAAAGCGCACAAAAAGCATTCACGCATTTACATATATATTTTATTTTTATGAGAAACGTACAACATATACAGAAAAATATATTACTTTTTCCTCAGGAAGACAAAGTCTCTCTGAATCTAAATTAAATTAAAACACTCGTCGTTAAATCAGCGTGACGAGACGTGCGTTGCATGCGCAAAGCGTTTCATCAACGAGACAACACGTCGGTGTGCATCAACACAAGCGTTTGTTAATCTGCTACACCAGAAGCACAGACGGAAATCTTTTTTTTTTTTTTCCCGGCGCGACTTTTGTCGACCCACGCGCTTATGTCGCCGGCATCATTAACGATGTCTAACGAGCCGAGACCAGAGAATCTTGATGGAACAATACCACTCGAGGGTCTACCACACATTTATACGAGAGTAAAAGATTCATACGACCGGGACAAACAGCGATGTTTCCGCCGTGTAACACAATTGTCGGCGTAACAACGCGTGCACAATTAAACTTTTATTTCTTGCTAATATTTCAAGCGAATATATCGTGCAAACAGCGCACAACCAAACTCCAACAAACTGTATCACTTCGACGTTTTAAAATTTCAAAAGTTTACGCATTTATTAGTCTTTGATATAGGTGTGGATAATTTTAAATCTAAAAATAACAATTGTGACATTTTATTGTTACATATTGTATAATATTTGTGTTATTACGATTGTTCCAACTTTTATTAATATTTTTATTAATATTCATTCTATTAATACCTCTATTAAATGCTTCTATTAAAAAAAACTCTTCTCTCTTTCTCTGCTTTTATTAATACCAATAAAATTTAAAACAATTTAAGAATTCAAAAGATAAAAGATTTCGACAATGACGAAATTTTTGATATTTAATTTCTTTTTATAATATATTGTTAATAACGTCGATTATCGTATTCATAGATTAATTATGGATATTTTTTGTTACAGAAACAAAGCATGATGGTCCGTCAACTGGAAGAGGAGCTCAGAATGAGAATGCGCGGGCCAAATGTTGAGATACAGCAGCAAATGGAAGTTTTGTACAATGAGAACGAGCATCTGACTCGCGAAATCGCCATACTTCGTGATACAATAAAGGTAAGTCATGAACATTAACGTCTAGATTATTACGAGATTACTTTTTCTCTGAGCTATAAAATGGATTTAAACTGATCTCTTTTTATTGCGATGTAAAATTATCTCTGTAAAATGGCGTTATAATCCTATATTTTCTGCTTCTGGTCGAATTTTTCCGAAGGAAAATTAATTTCCGGCCGTGCGTTTGCGAGATTAATTTTAGCCGGCGTGACTGTAGGTCGGTTTTCCGCGTCTTATGTCAAAAATAATGCAGTCATGGGCTCGAAATAGAATGGCGCACGCCATCGCGAATGTTTTCCGCATTTTCGAGAAGAGGGATCCCATTATAATTCGGAAATAAAAGGGATATAAGTGCAGTAAATGGGAGCAATAAAAGAAGCGGAGACACCCAAGTCGGTGCGCAAATTTGAGAACGTCGCGGATTGTCTCCCGGTTTGTCTCCTTTTTCTTATTCTTGTTTTTCCTCTCTCGTCGACTCTGAAAATATTCCCGATCTTTGTGAACATTTTCGCGCTTGGATGCCAGATATATTATATGTACATTTTCGCATTATCTTTCGATCTTTCGATATCGCTGCAGACATCTGTCATATGTCCCAGCTTCTACATTTAGAAGAAATACTTATACTCGTTCGATATCTTTCTCACGAATATTTTTAAAACTTTAATTATACACATTTTGTTTTATCTATTTTATGAATTTTTTTAATGTGTTTTTTATATAATAGATATCTCTTTTTTATTTTGAATAAAAGTATGCGGGAGGATTAGTTATTTTTCAAAACAATAGTTGAGGCAATGCAATCTTGATTTTTGTAGTTTTAATAAATTTTTTTTCTCGGTACGATTTTTTTTATTAATAATACACCATTAAAATTTTACCGAAATTATTGGATACAATATTAAACTAAATTAGTGAAAATGTCACTGATTAAAGCAGTGATAAGATTTCACCAAAAATTAGTGAGTATTTCACTGACCTTTAGTGAAAACATTTACATTTTTCTCTTCTGTTTTATGTTTTACTAATTATGGCAATAAAATTTTTAATGGGAGTAAAATGTCATTAAAAAATTAACCATTATCACTAACTGATTTTTTTCAGTAAGAGTCTTTCACTGTTTGCAGTGTTATACTTATAACTGAAGCCATTGTTTATAAGTGATAATACACTGATTCTATTTAAGAGAGTCTATCGTCGATTTATTTAAAGCCCATTCACGGTATCATTGGTGAACGCGTGTGATGCGCGCAATAAAATCCTTCGCGAAATAATTCGTCTGGCGATATGGCTCGTGGTTTATTGACACTTCTCGTACACCATGCGGGTTTGCTTAAACCGAAATAGACGAAGGATTTAGATCGTGTGCGAGGTAAACGACCGATTGTCTGAACGAACAGAATTATCTGACCACGGTCAGAATGCTTCTGGAAACCTTGGCAACGCGAATATCAGTCTCCCCGTGATAAATTCATTAAGTCCATCACCTATGCAGGGAACAGCGTCGTTGATATACTTAACGTTAAATTGCAGCATATGGGCATCTAATCGGAGCGCCACATTCCATACTTATTAAAGAGTGTGAATATTTTAAATATTTTTAAAAAAGATATAAATATTAATTTTCTTTTTTTTTTTAATCTAACTATAAATAAAAACATTTATATAAACCAATACGAGCTGTTTGATACAGCTCTTTGTGTTATCTAGTACTTGAAGTACGTCACTTTAAGAGAGAGAGAGAATATTGTAGAAATATTTTTTATATAAATACTATTATTTTTAATTTCAACAATGCGCGCGCATACATTTTTTTTTTATTTAACAAAAAACTACTTTTGATACATAATACTTACTAATAATTTTTACATTTAATATATTATAAAATTAGATCAGTTTATATCAAGTACGATATTTTATTTTTATTGCGAGATAAAAACAATTTAAATACGTGTATGTGTATGCAATTTGTCCGTACACGATAATTTAAAGGGATATTGAATTGACTGAAACATTCCTCCAGGAAGTAGTTCATTTTGAAAAGGAATGGAGTGATATTTGTCCGTAAGCATGAACTGTCGCGACCGAAATGTCGCAGACAGGTCAAACGTACAGAAACAACATTAGGAAGTAGGGAAGCAACTAGTCGTCTTTGGCTATTCGCCAGTTTATGCACTTGATTTCTCGTCTTTCCGTAAATTCTCGTCATTATCAAAACCAACAACCGAGTCTACCGTTATTATGAAGTCTTTGGAAATTGAAATGTCCAAAATTAATTACACGACAGTGCAATATAACCACGTTTTTATTTCACTATTTTATTACTTTGATTCAGTATACGACTTTAGACTTGTAATTTTATTCTTGCAAAATTACTATATAATTCTTTGTCGACAATATCGATAATAGTAGTTCGAGATTAAATGGACTGACAGTAGATAATATGCATTTTTTTTTAAATACTATTTATCCGAGACGCATATCTATATACGATTGTACAAAGGTTTCTAAAGATTTCCGATAAGAAGTTTAATTGAATTAATTATCAGGTGTCGCTTGATGTCTCGGGCGTAGAATTTTCGCATTTTCACAGCGTACGCTATCGTCCAAGCTTTCAGATAATATCGTACGCGAATGTTCCTCTCGCACAGCGGGAAAATACCGGCAGAAGGCCAGCAGCGGGCGTCTAATTCCAGACTAATTACTTTCCTGCCGTCAAAGAGACGCGCTAAATTTGTTACGTGGGCGCCAAGCGGGTGGCACTATTCGCTGTTGACTAACACATAGAAAGAGAAATGTTTTTACATATGAATATATCGGAGCATATATGAAAAACGCTTCGATATATGTTAATAAATTCATGTGTTAAGATATTTCTATTCCTATAGTGTGTATGCGCGAATCGGGTGTGAAAAGCTTATAAAGACACATTATCGGTTTTTACAAAAATAACCCCGTACAAAGTGCACGACCACGAAATCTTATAAAAATAGCGTTCTTCGTCCTTCGCTATAAAACAGATTTTTATTACATGACTTGAAATGTTAATCTTTTTTTAGAACTGACGATATATGATAGTAGTAAATTATATATTTTTTATCCTGTCAAAGTTTGCATTTGATGTAACTTTAGAGAACATATGATGTATATATTTCTGCAAAGCTTTTCCCCGCAAATATCAAAAAATATTTTAAGGAGAAATTTTCAAAGAAAAGTCGAATTCTCAAATTTAACAAAGAATCTGTTTTTAAATTATTCTTGATAGATTTGGGTTATTTCGTACAATAATATGAAAAGTTTATAAAATAGTGCCAATTTTGTTTAATGTGTGCATGTATGTGTTTGGTTAAATCTTCATCTTAATCCATTTCAATTCTACGTTCCCGGTGGTACATCCGCAGATGCTGAAATAATTTTGCGATCTTAATATAGTCCATTAACATTTTGAGCGTAACTGAGTTGCCTATTATTTTAAATAAAGCTCTAATTATGACATTCCACAACTAGTTAAATTTCATAGTCACTATTATGCTTGGCTTGTACTTGCCAACCTGCATTTTGTAGATTTAAAATAATGGATTCATAAAACATTTTGAAAGCATCGAGATCACACACACACGCACATGTAGTTCCATTGTTGAATAAATATATATATTATTGTACAATTTATATAACAATCAAATGAATTTTGGAAATATCTAAATTGATATTTGTTAAACATAATTTATGTAAAAATTGTTATACGCAATATATGATCAATTAGAAATTATTGATGCAAATATAATAAAAAAATAATAATTTTTTTAAAAACAAAAATCTTTTTGAATTAATATGATTATTAACAAAAGCGACAAAACGTGAAAAAAACACTTAATTATTATAATATGTTTACCATTAATTATTGATCTTTCTCTGTTGCAGGAATTGGAATTAAGAATAGAAACGCAAAAGCAAACGCTGCAAGCTCGCGATGAGAGTATCAAGAAGCTCCTCGAGATGCTCCAGAACAAGGGGATGGGTGAGCCATTGCTTGCAATTTCTTTAAACTACCTTAATTAATCATTTTTCTCGATATCTCATTTTATTGAGAAATATTCATATGTGACTGTAAGATCGATTGAATCATAAGAGAAATCGAAAAATTAGGTGAATTAAGTGGAAAATAGACAGATTTACTTATAATGCCAAAATCGATACATTATAATATGCATAATTTTAATCAAATTTACTATAATTTGAATAAACTTTGTGAAGTCAATAGCTGGTTTACAAATGAACATCACCTGATATTTTACCGGGCATCCTTTTCCAACGAAGAGAACCTAATTTTCTGTAACGAATTTTTCGCGTAAATACTGTCGTTAGCCTCGACGAGGCACCATAAAGGTGGATCGAATTATCTCGTTAAATTCGTAGACCGTAACTCGTCTAAGCGGACAAATCTGTTCTCTTTGAGAGCATTATTGTGATCCATATAAACTCGCTATGAAAATAACAGCGCGCAAACGAGAAGATGTAACACGCGAGAGAATACTAATCTCGCAAAATAATTCTACGGAGAAATATAAAAATACTATAAAAAGTTGAAAAGCGACTGGGAAAGTTGGGAAAAGTCGTGTCATAAACAAAACTTTCAATATTCACGACACAATTATTATTATCAAAATAATAAATCGTATTTTCATTTGGCATACGCAAGTATTCCAAATGCGCTGCGCTAATATATCAAAACATTTTTTCTATTTTATTTTTATAAATGGATAGAAGCAATTAATATTCAAAAAAAAGAATTTTTTTTTTGTTTTTATTATAATATTGTTCTATTAAATTAAATTTCTATTAATTCTATTAAATATTATCTTTAATATAATATTATTCTATTATAATTGCAAGAGAACTATGATTAAATATATACATTCTATTAATTGAACTGTATAATTCTATTAATTATTATACAAGAGTAATCATAATATGTAGAGATAGAGTAAAATTAAAAAAGATTGCGCTTGAGCAAATTACTACAATAATTACTAGATCATACATACCAAATACACACACACACATACACACACACACACACACACACACATCCATGACTACTTCGATGATCCGTGAACCTGGAACCAAACAGTTCCCCCAAGAGTTCCTCGTTACTTTCTGCTGTTTTAGGAAAAGAGGAGGAAAGGATCATGTTCCAGCAAATGCAGTCGATGGCCCAGAAGCAGGTCCTTAAGCTATTTCTATCCGTGTCGCCATACATATATTCATAATTATAAATTTAAAAGTATATATATGTATACATACATTATGCATCGCGTACATATGTATATACATATATATATATATATATCTGTGTGTGTCACTCACATTTCGATCAACGCTCATTACGCATTTTCGGCGCGCATATGTGTATATATATATATATATATATTTATTCATATTAATTATTTTTCGAAATTTGTCTATACTATCATGTACATATATATATATATGTATATATACGTATGCGTTAACATGAATCGCTATTCATTATTCTGTATGAGTAGTTTGCTTGCAAGTAGTTTGCAGTTATTGCACTGCCAGTGGCTTTACTTTTCGCCCCGTGTTATCGTGCTCACGCTTGAACTTCTGTGTCATCTGATCTGAGAAAATAAAAAAGAAGAGAAAGGAACAAAAAAAAATTGGAACAAAAGCGAAAACGAACATGCGAGCGCCAGGGGGTGAGTGGAGTAACCCTTATCCTTATACAGACGGCCCACTCTCGATTCAGGGACCACAACAGGGTTTTGCGAGCCTCTCCGCCCGTCTCGTGCGACTCGACTCGATCGTTGCCCCCGAAATCGATCGGGTTCTCGCGAGCGAAAGGGTTCTCCATTTTGTGTTTTGCAATAGGGACGAGATTAAGGTACGGTATACATGCAAGATCGGGGCCGGTGATAGGCAGAGACGGTTGAACTACTAACGCAACGCCTCGGTCAACAGGCACGGGAAATCCGCAGATTGAAAATCCGATTCAGAATCACGACACAAAAATCTGATTATCAGACGAAGATTCGAAGGTTTCGTAGATTCGCGAGCGGAGGAAACGTTCGTGAATCTTAGAATTCGCGGATAAAACTCCATGAAGCATCCGAGAATCCAATAATTATGATAGTTTAAAAAATCTACATATTCAAAAATTCTAGGAATCAAGGATTTTTTTCATGACAATGAAACTTTGACATCATGTAATATATATAGATGGTAAAAACCAAACGTTTCAAATTGCCTTAAATCTTGAGAAAGAAATATCTCTAGTTCGATTGTGTTATAGTTAGGACTGAGATAACATTTATACCAAAATTTAATTAATTATGATTTATTTTTCACTCAATTTCTTTCTCTGTAATTTTTTAAAAATTTACTCTAAAAGATACAGGCTACGCAAGGGAAAAATAAATTAAAAGGATAATTAATTTTAGAATACATTACGTCAATTAATTGTAAGATATCTCGTTAGAATATCTCTTTTCGTGACGTGATTTTATTCAACGTATGTCGTTATTCGAAATCAAAATATTTCGATGCATTTCGAGCCAGGTCGTAATGTTCTGTTTATTTCGGAGTTTTTAACATTTTTCTCCTTGAAGGAGAAAAAAAATCGAATCAAAAGGGAGCTGGAAAATCGACGGGTTTTGCGCCACTACTCAGCAATTTTACACATGAATTATACATACGCGCGCGTATATATGTATACAGACACATGCAAGACATACACATATACATACATACATCCCTCGTCTTCCAACACTCACGCACATACTCGCACCTACGTTCGCGTTCAATGTGCGCATAATCGCAGGTTTACTTTCTCACGAGTGTTTTGAACATGCACTTTTCTCTTCGTGTCACCGTCGCAAAAGTTTTCAAAAATTCACGCCCGTAAACGCAGTGATGTACTATTCCTATTTTCATTGCGAAGATCGCGGAAATCTCTGAAAAATAACTCGAGAAAGAGTTTGCCTCGTTTTCCAGAGGCGCTTGTCAAGTCTTCGCTTTATTGCGGCTGTTGCTTTATCGTCTCGTTTAGTTTTACGGAATACTCGATATCTTAACGCCGCATGTGTCTGCGCGTCCTCACATCCCATAAACTTATATAGTAGAAATAAAAAACGTGAAACAATATAAAAAGCTGAGAAAAATCTCCGTTACTGATGATGTCGTAAATAGCAGCTGTAAACTTAGTTTAATCACGATCAGAATTGCCGCGAAAAAAAGACGCAGTTTAACAAAAATTACATGGGGTTATATTACAAAATTTCGACCATCTCTATTACATTGATAGATATTTCAAACGAGTGCTATTCGCTTGACTTGAAAATTTGCATATGTCTCGGTGATATTTGTCGACAAGATCGCAGGGAAAAGTCCTCGCGTTAAATCCGACACTCTCACAGGAATGGTACAGAAATCCGTCAACGTGAATTTTTGAAGCGTGGATATATAAATTCCCCATATCGCTTACTCTCACTCAGCAACTGTCGCTGCTCCGCTGTATCGTCACATAGCGAAACGAGCGCATTTGTACTGACTGTTAACGTCGTAAAAAAGTTTCTCTGAGCACTGTCACCATCATCACCGTCATGTGTTCTGTTCTGCTCTTCACGCAATCCGTGTCTTTAGATGGTCTTTAGAGGAGACGTAGTTCGTATACATTCCCGAGATAAGTTCTTACGTTTATAGCGCCCTACCTTCGTTTATAGTTCGGTCTTGATAGACGAATGCGAGGTCGTTCGAGAAACTCACTACTATTTCGCCTACAGGCTCTCTTCTTCCACGCATTTTCACGGCGCGCCGTGCTCGTGTTTAGATTTTTGATTTCTTTATGAGTGTTGCTTTCGGTCCACATACTTTTTTGCGAAATTTATATTTATTGTACAGTTTTTCTGTAGTTCATCAAAGTGTCCAAAATATTATTGAGTAAAATTCGGATTTAAAAAAAAAAAATTTAAAAAGTTATTTACATTACATTTGATTGAACGATTCAATTTTCTATGTACTAAATTTTATTTTTGTAAATCTTTTTTTTTCTCTGTAATTGCTTTGGCAAATTTTAACGTACGTGGTAAATTTTATACGTAATAAAAAGTACAAATCACCATTTTATTTAATTAAAATTTTTATGAAATAAAAAGAAGATATATGTTAGAAAACTAATTGTTACAAATTAATCTATCGTGGTCAATAATTAATGTTTTTACGAACAACATCGCATTCGCTATTTCACTCGGTCTCCTTGCACTCTCATATTCATGCCTGTTAGACTTAGGACTTAGACGGAATCTATATAGCTTGAGTGGCACTCGGGATTCGACAAAAAGAAAAATTGACAGATCCGTTTTCCTTTTTTCCGGGTGCAATTTCGAGCACGAACTGGACGTAACAAGCACGTCAACATTATATTAGAATCATTAATAGCACAATAAATCTTCCCTTTCGTTCATTTTTTTTTCCGTCATTCTATCACTGAAATACTGCCGCGCACAATGTTCTCTTTTCTCTTCCTGAAAATATACTTTGCAATCTTCGAGCAAACTATCTTGCGCGAACAATTGCACTAGCATCAAGGCCTGTCTCGTTGTTCATTGTGTCGACAACTTAGCAGCACGAACGTTGTATCATGTTATCATCACTGTATCTTAGTCCAATTTCATCTCAACCGATCCCTCAAAATCCTTCGACAAGTCCTTCGTGTTCTACGCCGAGATTAAAACCGGTATAATCTCGACAAGAATTTGAAACTCGATGCTAGAAACAATGAAAACATGACAATACCGTTGTATTTTTCCGTAGTGTTCGTAGCATCGATGGAGCAAATTCATCGAAATTATAGCAAAATTTTAATTAATTTCAATCTCGTAATTAGCTGTTTATTTGCTATTATTACCGGTAAATAAAATTTGCGTGGGCGAAATATGCTCTATTGTCTTTAATAAGAATATTCTAAATTCCTGTTGAGAGATAAATGAAATAGCGCGTCTCAAACGTGCAGAAGACGTTCTGATTAGCTCGAGGAAGCGGGACACATTCGATGCCAAGAGGAAACTACTCGGTCCAATTTCCTCTCTTTTCACTGCGAATTTCTCCGGGCATAACCCGATCTCTCGACGCGGCAAATGCGCGCGAGCGCAATTAATAGCTGCAATCTCGTTGCGCGTAATTAATTGCCGTAATTCAAGCAAAGTCTTCAAAATAATGTACCTTAGATATCTTTCGAGAAAATAATTTCTCAAATTAAAAACGAAGAAAATTATTAGAATATAAATCTTTCTATGGCACATTTTTCTAATACTTTTAAAAATCTAAAGTTACTAGGTATGTTAACAAATTTATTTTTGCCCCTTTATGTTGCATGTATATATCAATCCATTTAAAAAAAAAATTTTGCAAATACTCTATATTTGTATGTAATTATTATAAATACATAAATAATAATGTAATTCACTAATTTATAAAACTTATTTAATTTCATATAATTATATTTTTCGCTATTATCTAAATTTTCTTAAATCATAAAACAGATAACAAAAATTATAAAAAAAAGCAGGTAATTAGTCCTATTGAAATACTCATTAAAACAAGTTTTTGAAAAACATGCATTAAACAAAAAGTAGAACACGTAATCCTCAATAATTCATACAAATCATTAATCCCGTATGCAAAGCCATATGTTCTCCCATGCCTTTTTCTTTTTGCACCATACATGTCGAATAATTCAAAAACGATTCGTCCACGATCTCTTTATTCGATGACCTCGACAAACGAGATAATTTATCTAACAATCAGCTCCCCGTAAACAATACCACAAACCGACATATACAATATTCTATGAAAAGTGAGAACTTAGACTCACGGTGCGTAACAAAGTTAAATTACATAATTTGTCCCATTAACCTAATTTGATAGATCAGACGTTAGATGAATCATCCAGTTATACGATACGTCACCGAATTAGCGAGTCATCGGACGAATCGTGCCGCTACAGCTATCGAATCGAACTCGATCGACAACAAGAACAAGATGATAAAAAAACGGTCGATCGTAGGAAGCGAACGAACGAGCGGCATGATTAAATTCAAGACTTAATTACGAGATTCAAAAATAACAACAGCTGCGATTGGAATGCGTGGAATGAGCTGCTTTGGATGTGTAGGCGATAAGAATAACGTTAGAGCCACTCTATCCT